CTCCATATGCAAAAGGGGATAACTCCTGTTAAATCTTCAAATTTGGAATTAAGATAAATCTTTATAGATTGACTAAAAAACTTGTATCGAAATAGACAAATAAAGATCCTTGCAGCTGCAGCCCCAAGTTGAAAAATGAGAAAAAACAAATTAAAATTCACCATATTACAATAACACAATGATAGGATGTATAAGTACCCAGCCATAACATTATTATAGTCAAAAATCAAAAGTAAAGGTTAAAAGTATACAAAAAAAAGGTAAACTTTAACATGTATTTATTCAAATAATAAAGATTACCTTAAAAAAATATTCACAAACACAATGTGACGGGTTAAACTCGTTTGAAAGCTTCCAGTCTGCCCAAACGCAGAAAAAGCTAAATAATGAAATGGTTACAAAACAAATATAAAACAATGACACAGAATTAAAGTTTTAACACTCAAAATTGTAGAAAAACAGTAAAGACAGGACTGTTAACATATTAAAAATGTGTCCTGTTGTGGTGAAAATAAACATTTTCAAAAACAATAACTTCAATCATGCATTTTTATGAAACTCACCATGTTATAATTATAATTGTAGAAAAAAAACATTTATATATATATATATAACTCCATAAACATTACTATTTATACATTTTATTATTAAAACATTTTGCAATTTACTAACTTAACATAAATCTTTCACAATCATTTCCTTCAATACTAATCAGTCCCCTACCAACAAAGTCGAAAGGGACTATAAGATTGCACTCTGTTTGTCTGTCTGTCTGTCCAACAATTCAGTTTCTCACACTTTTTAGTTCCCTACATACGAAATAGAAGGAGACTTAATGATTACACTCCTTCTGTCTGTCTGTCCATCTGAAAGTCCGTCAAATATCAGTTTCCCACACTTTTTGGAATCACGTCCTCGTCATCGTCGTCGTCATCAGCAGCGGGAACATAGTCCAAAGACATATGGTTTCCAGACAATAACTTTAGTATTAGTAAATAGAAATCTATGAAATTCAAACAGAAGGTTTGAAACCACAATAGCAAAGTTGGGATTGTTTTTTGCGGTTATGGTCCCAACAGTTTAGAAATTATGGGCCAAAAAGAAGCCCTAATAAGCATTTTTTTCTAGTTTCGAGACAATCGTCATGCTTAAAAATATTGATTTGATAATTTGTATATAGTTTTATCATGACAAGTTACAGACCAAATTTGATTTTTAGCTCACCGTTCCGAAGGAACGTGAGCTTTAGCCATTACTTGGCGTCGTCCTTTGTCGTCTATCTGGTGTAAACTATTTCAAACATCTTCTTTGAAACTACCAAACCAATTCCAACCAAACTTGAGCTGAATGATCCTTACGGTATCTAGAATAAAGTTTGTGTTTTATTTTCTGTTTCGTCAAAAAACATGGTCACAATGGCTAAAAATAGAACATAGAGGTAAAATGCAGTTTTTGGCCTATATCGAAAAAACCAAAGGAGTTAGAACAAATCTGTAATGGGGTAAAAGTGTTCATTTTGTAGAGTTTTTCAGCCCTGGAATTTTCAGATGAATCTAATAACCCATTGTTGGGTTGCTGTCACTAAATTGGTAATTTTAAGAAAATTTTGCAGTTTTTGGTTATTATCTTGAAGAGTATTAATGATAAAGATAAACTGTAAAAAGCAAATATATTCAGCAAAGTAAGATCTACAAATAAGTTTATATGACCAAAATTGTCAATTAACCCATTAAGGAGTATTGCCCTTTGAGGACAATTTTACACAATTTTTTTATGTTTTCTAACTTTAACAAATCTTCTCCTCTGAAACTACTGAACCAATTCCAACCAAACTTGAGCTGAATGATCCTTATGGACTCTAGAATAAAGACTGTGTTTTATTTTCTGTTTCGTCAAAAAACATGCCCGCCATGGCTAAAATTAGAACATAGGGGTCAAATGCAGTTTTTGGCTAATTTATCTCAAACACTTATGCAATTAGAGCAAATCTGATAAGAGGTTAAAATGTTCATTAGGCCAGGTTCTATCAGCCATGAAATTTTCATTTGAATCTAACAGTCCATTGTTGGGTTGCTGCCACTAAATTGGTAATTTTAAGGAATTTTGCAGTTTTTGGTTATTATCTTGAATATTATTAATAATAAACATAATAAAAATAAACTGTCAACAGCAAAAATGTTCAGGAAAGTAAAATCTACAAATAAGTTAATATGACCAAAATTGTAAAATGTGTCCTTAAGGAGTTATTGCCCCTTTAAAGACAATTTTTTATAATTTGTTCATCTAGTTTGCTTTCTTTAAAAAAATCTTCTCCGTTGAAACTGCTGAATCAATTTCAGCCAAACTTGGGCTGAATGAGTTTCAGAGTATCTAGTATAAATTTTGTATTTTATTTTGTTGTACGTTAAGAAATATAGCCACTATGGCTAAAATGGAACATAAGAGTAAAATGTATTTCTTCACTTTAGAAGAAAATATGACGTTTGCCATCTGAAGCATCGATCTTTACTGCTGAAGCAGAAGCAATAATTTTGGCTTTGAAATTTATTGCTTCTTCAGATAAATCGAAATTTATTATATGTTCTGATTCACTTTCATGCTTACAAGCTATACAAAATACTAAAATTAAAAACCCAACAATTCTCAAAATTTTATATGTAATGAGGAATTTAAAAATTCTTCTTAAAGAAATATTATTTCTATGGGTGCCGAGTCATGTTGGAATCCTTGGAAACACAGCTGTAGACCTTGAGGCAAAGAATGCCCTGGGTGACCCTTCATCTAACTGCGATATACCATATACCGATTTTAAATCTAATATTAGAGAATATGTTTTTAATATATTGAAAAATGAATGGAGTAAAAAAGATGGTAATAAATTACATGAAATTAAACCTAATTTATGTAAACCTTTAAATAATTTTATGTGCAGAAAAGATCAGTGTGTTATTTCTAGATGTCGTATTGGTCATACTAGAATAACACACGAATATCTTTTAAAAAATGAAGTAGAACCACAATGTATACCTTGTAACTGCAAGTATACTATTAAACATGTTTTAATCAATTGTATTGACTTTGCTGATATTCGGAAGAAGCATTTCAATGTCAATAATATGTATGATTTATTTAATAATATTCCATTTACAAATATTGTTTCATTCTTAAAAGAAATTGGAATATATTATAAAATATAAAAATGTTGTTATATTTAAAACGATTTTAATTTTTATCACGTTATCTTAGTGTTGATTTTTATTTGTAAATAATCAATTTGCTTTAGTCTAGAATTTTAGTTTATTGAAAGACCTTTTGTCTGATTTTAAAAATATACCTTAAATTGTTATAATATTCGAATTAGCTCTCGCCGCGATATAGCCTTTCTGTGCTAATGCGGCGTAAAGCAAACAACAATCAATCAATCAATCAATCGGATCACTTTAGTCTGGTCTCTACCCTTCGACATGTCCAGCATGGGTAACCGTACCAGGAGACGAAGCTCCAACTGGCATAGCTCTTGGGGTCACTGAGACACGCAAGCCCCCCGACCACGGCAAGGATAGCGATCCACCGGGGGGCCTGCTGTAGTAATGATCAGTAATACATATGAACTTGAACCTCATTTCAAAGGTCACCTGTCTTGTTAGGTAATAGTGTTCATCTGCTGCTGTCTTCAGGGACAGAGCTGCAACACTCCGTTTGCCATCTGATGCATCGATCTTTACTGCTGAAGCAGAAGCAATAATTTTGGCTTTGAAATTTATTGCTTCTTCAGATAAATCCAAATTTATTATATGTTCTGATTCACTTTCATGCTTACAAGCTATACAAAATACCAAAATTAAAAACCCAACAATTCTCAAAATTTTATATGTAATGAGGAATTAAAAAATTCTTCTTAAAGAAATATTATTTCTATGGGTGCCGAGTCATGTTGGAATCCTTGGAAACACAGCTGTAGACCTTGAGGCAAAGAATGCCCTGGGTGACCCTTTATCTAACTGTGATATACCATATACCGGTTTTAAATCTAATATTAGAGAATATGTTTTTAATATATTGAAAAATGAATGGAGTAAAAAAGATGGTAATAAATTACATGAAATTAAACCTAATTTATGTAAACCTTTCAATAATTTTATGTGCAGAAAAGATCAGTGTGTTATTTCTAGATGTCGTATTGGTCATACTAGAATAACACACGAATATCTTTTAAAAATGAAGTAGAACCACAATGTATACCTTGTAACTGCAAGTATACTATTAAACATGTTTTAATCAATTGTATTGACTTTGCTGATATTCGTAAGAAGCATTTCAATGTCAATAATATGTATGATTTATTTG